TCATCATCATCCTCCTCATCATCCTCATCATCATGCTCATGAACATTCTCATCATCATCCTCATCATCGTCCTCATCATCCTCATCACCAAGCTCATCATCATCCTCATCATCATCCTCATCACCGTCCTCATCAGCATCCTCATCATCATCCTCATCATCATCCTCATCACCAAGCTCATCATCATCCTCATCATCATCCTCATCATCATCATCACCTTCCTCATCATCATTCTCATCATCAGCCTCATCATCATCTTCATCAACATGCTCATCAAAATCCTCGTCATCCTCCTCATCATCATTTCCATCATCATCCTCATCATCATGTTCATCATCCTCCTAATCAGCAACATCATCGTCGTCTTCATCTTCATTTTCATCGTCATCCTCATCATCATACTCATCTTCATCCTCATCATCATCCTCATCGTTATCCTCATCATCCTCCTAATCAGGATCCTCATCGTCATCCTCATCATAATCCTCATCGTCATCATCATCATCATCCTCATCATCATCCTCATCATCATCCCCTTCGTCATCCTCATCATAATCCTCATCAGCATCCTCATCATCATCCTCATCATCATCCTCATCGTCATCCAGATCATTATCCTCATCATCATCCTGATCATCATCCTCATCATCATTTCCCTCATCATGCTCATCATCACCGTCATACTCATCATCATCATCTTCCTCATCATCATCCCCATCATCATCCTCATCATCATCCTCATCATCATGCTCATCATCATCCGAATCATCATCATCATCATCATCCGAATCATCATCATCATCCTTCCCGTCATCATCCTCAGCATCATCCTCATCATCAGCGTCAACATCATCCTCAACATCATCCTCATCATCATTCTCATCATCATCCTCATCATCATCCTCATCACCATCATCATCAGCACCACCATCATCATCCTCATTATCATCCTCATCATCATCCTCGTCAACATTCTCGTCATCATCCTCATCAACATCCTCTTCATCAGCCTCAACATCATCCTCATCAACATCCTCATCATCATCATATTCATCATCCTCATCATCATCCTCATCATATTCATCATCTTCATCCTCATCCTCCTCGTCGTCCTCATCATCATGCTCATCAAAATCCTCATCATCTTCCTCATCATCATCCTCGTCATCATGCTCATCATCATCCTCATCATGATCCTCATCATATTCATCATCTTCATCCTCATCCTCATCGTCGTCCTCATCATCATGCTCATCAAAATCCTCATCATCATCCTCATCATCATCCTCATCATCATGCTCATCATCATCGTCATCATCATCTTCATCATCATCCTCATCATCATGCACATCATCATCCTCATCATCATCCACATCATCTTCCTCATCATCATCATCATCATCATCGTTATCCTCATCACGATCCTCATCATCATCCTCATCATTATGCTCATCATCATGCTCATCCTCCTCATCATCATCATCCTCATCATCATCCTCATCGTCACCCTCAACATCACCATCCGCATCATCCTCATCATCATCCTCACCATCATCCTCATCATCATCCTCATCAACGTCCTCATGATCGTCCTCATCATCATCCTCAACATCACCCTCGTCATCATCTGCATCATCATGCTCATCATCATATTCATCATCCTCATCTTCATCCTCATGATCGTCCTCAAAATCATCCTCAACATCATCCTCATCATCATGTGCATCATCATACTCATCATCATCCAGATCATCATCCTTGTCATCATCCTCATCATCATACTAATCATCAGCTACATCATCATCCTCATCATCATCCTCATCATCATCCTCATCATCCACCTCATCATCATCTTCATCCACATCATGATCCTCATCATCAGCCACATCATCGTCCTCATCATCATCCTCATCATCATCCTCATCGTCATCCTCATCATCATCCTCATCATCATGCTGATCATCATCCTAATCATAATCCTCATCATAATCCTCATCATTATTCTCATCATCATTCTCATCATCATCCTCATCATCATCCTCATCATCATCCTCATCATCATCTACATCATCATCCTCATCATCATCCTCATCAAAATCCTCATCGTCATCCTCATCATCATCCTCACCAGCATCCCCGTCATAATCCTCATCATCATAATCATCATCATGCTCATCATCATCATCAACATCATCATCATTCTCCTCACAATCCTCATCATCATCAGCAACATCATCCTCATCATCATCCTCAGCATCATCCCCAGCATCATCATCATCATCGTCCACATCATCATCCTCATCATCACGCTCATCATAATCCTCATCCACATCATCATCATCATCCTCATCATCATCCTCATCATAATCCTCATCCTCATCATTATCATCATCCTCAGCATCATCCTCATCCTCATCCTCATCATCATCCTCATCATTATCATCCTCATCATCATCCATATCATCATCATCATCATCCTCATCATCATCCTCATCATCATTCTCATCCGCATCATCATCCTCATCATCATGCTCATCATCATCATCCTCATCAACCTCATCATCATCCTCATCATCATCCTCATGATCGCCTCGCCGTCATCCTCATCATCATCCTCATCATCATGCTCATCATCATTGTCATCATCATCCTCATCATCATCCTCGTCATCATCCTCATCATCCTCCACATCATCACCCTCATCATCATCTTCATCATCATCCTCATCATCATCCTGATCATAATCCTCATCGTCATCCTCATCAACATCCTCACCAGCATCCCCGTCATAATCCTCATCATCATACTCATCATCATGCTCATCATCGTCCTCACCATCATCCTCAACAACATACTCATCATCATCCGCATCATCATCCTCATCATCATCCTCATCATCATCATCATCATCATGCTCATCATGATCCTCATCCTCATCATCATCATCATCCTCATCGTCATCCTCATCATCATCCTCGTCACCATGCTTCTCATCATCCTCATCATCATCCTCATCATTATTCTCATCATCATCCTTATCGTCATCTTCATCGTCATCCTCCTCCTCCTCATCATCATCATCCTCTTCATCATCCTCATCATCATCCTCATCATCATCCTCATCATCATTTTCATCATCATGCTCATCATCATCGTCATACTCATCATCATCATCTTCCTCATCGTCATCTCCATCATCATCCTCAGCATCATCCTCATCATCATGCTCATCAAAATCCTCGTCATCATCCTCATCAACATACTCATCATCATCCTGATCATCATCCTCATCGTCATCCTCAACATAATCCTCATCATCATCATCATCATCATCATCATCCACATCATCATTATCAACATCATCATAATCTTCAA